CTCAGAATCATAATATCACAGAACTAGAAGCAATAATCTCTCTATAGCAATCATCTCTTGATTGTTGTAATCTTTTCCCAGAGCCTGAATCACCTGTATAAACTCTAGAGATTATTGTGCTCCCTGTTTGAACGTTTCCAATGATGAGTAACTCACTATCCCATTATTAGTACTAAACTGAAATCCATCTCGTCTTAACTGTCAGCCTTTAATTCAATTTCTGTTTCTCATAAGTAGACACCCAATTAAGTCACATTCTAATTTCCTTTTGCAGTGCAGTGAATTACTTCATATGGCTCTTCTACCCATAGTCTTTGCAACTCCCACTAAACAACGTTTTTGTCCTGCTGGGTCTGGGTAAAACAAGGTGGAAGAAGATGCTGATAGGATGATATGATTCAGTTGTGAATTATTATTAACAGCATTGTGATTGTAAAAATTGGATGTCTAACATGGCTATAAAATGCACCATCTCAGAAGCAGGAGGGGAATTTCACTATCATCAAAGAAGAAAGAACCAGGAGTGGAGTGCATCCTTTGGACCCACATTGAATCTCCTTAGCCCAGGGACAGAAGACTGTTGTTATTGTTAAGTGCCGTCGAGTTGGCTCCGACCCATAGCGACCCTGTACAGGGTTTCTGAGGCTGTAAATCTTTATGGGATCAGAAAGCCTCCTCTTTCTCTCATGGAGCAGCTGGTAGTTTCAAACTGCTGACCTTTCAGTTCGCAGCCTGATTCATAACCACTATGCTACCAGAGCTCCTTGGGGACAGAGGACTAGTAGCAGCAAAACCAAGAGCTAGAGAATGAGGTAGAGGGCTTCCCAGCCCATGGAGCAAGTAGAGCTGAGTGACTTTGGACAGGAGGCTTGCTTGCAGAGTGGGGTACCTCCAGGCACTTAATAGGAGGAATTAGGCTTGCGGACCCTTAACGCTAGAGCCAAATGCCTTCAGATCGAGACTTACAGTGTAGTGCCTTGTATGCAGCCCTAAAAGAGCTTTGTAACATTGACCAGGAGTCAACCTCAACCTCAAGGTCAGTTTGAACTGCAAGTTCGGTGGTTCAAACTCACTGACTGCTCCTCAGAAACTCTACACAGAGTTGCTAAGAGTCAGAACTGACTCAATGGAAATAACTACAACAACACTGTCCAAGCAGGGACAAGCCTGTGAACATGGCTGTGGAAAGGGAGTCCTGGCTGTGCATTGAAGCATTTTCTAATCCTGCATAGTAAATTGTTAACTTCCCTAATAAACCCCGTAACTGTGAGCCCATTTCAATGAATGATCAAAACCAGCCAAGGAGAGGATGCTGTAGGAGAGGGGATTGGTGCCATATTTTTGCACCTTTTTAAAATTTGAAGATACTACGCTTTGCTGTCTCTTGCAGATTAAACATCTTCTCTTTTTTCCAACTATTTCTCAAGTGATTACCTAGCAGTGTCTGAAATAGACAGTAGCTAAAATAATGTTTGTTGAAATTTTGGTTCTCTGGCCCTTGGTGTACTAGGGCCTGATCCTGACCACAGTTGGCCTCCATATTGTAATCTGTTTCTCACTGTCTCAAATGACCCCCTCAGAGGTATATTTCTAAAAGTTCAGTCCTGCATTCACTTAGCAAGTATATAATGAGCAGCTCCCGTAAAATAAGACTTCAAATAAAATCCTGTGGAGAGTGTCCACAGAATAAAAACGAAAAACTCTAGTGAAATAAATGTTAATGTGGAGGTTGGCTCTAAAATCCTTTGTTAATAAACTATCTAGTAGAGAAGTAGCACCCATTTACTATTCAATTTAGAGCACTATCAGACTCAAAAATGTAATCTCTTCAAAACAGCTTCAGTGAAAACTATTTTTCATTGGTCTTCAATTAGATTGGTCTGAGAAATAAGCAGATGTCATTGTGATGAAATAGTGTAATTTTTAAAAATGTTTTATTGTGAATTATGTAATCGTTTACATGGGAGAACATTAGTTTTACATTCATCCTATCATATCTTGTTTCATTGCCATGGTTACAATCTCCTCCATGCATCATCAACCAACCAAAGAGTATACACTACAAGCCTGCCCCCCGATTGTCAGCACACAGCCTGAAATAGTGTAATTTTTAATGATACAGAAGTCATTCAACTTTCTGCTGCTTATTGTTAGTGCTACTGTGATGATTAGCAACAATGAGCTTACAGTTTTGGTAACTGAAGAGCCAGGGAATAGAAGGTGAATTGTGCTTTACTTTATAAAAGAAAGTCTAGCAAATTGTTACGAATCACAAGGGAATAAGCTATATCATTATAATAACCTCAGAAGGAATTTGATGGCAGTATAAATGAAACCAAACATCCCAAACCATAATTTCAGAAAAAAAAGAAATCTCAGGTTTAAATTTGTTGTTGTTGTCATTGTTGTTAAGTGTCTTTGAGTCAGTTCCAACCCATAGCGAACCCTGTATAGGGTTTCCAAAGAGCAGCTGGTGAGCTTGAGCTGCCAACCTTGAGGTTCAAAGATGGCACCAGGACTCCACCACACCAGTTTTAAATTAGTTACTTGGAATTTACCCAATTTTGACTCTGTTTTCAATATGTTCTAAAAACTCTGATTTTTAAAGTAATAATGATGTATTTTTTCTTTTTCCTCTACTGAACCAAATCTGGTGTGGCACTGTGGTTTAAGGCACTGGACTGCAAGGTCGGTTTGAACTTCACTATGATTTTACAGCACTTAACAACAATAATAAAACCAAACATATGTCAAAACTCTACCCTCTTTTTATTGCAAATATAAAGTACTTTAGAAAATTAGTTATATTGTTGTTGTTGTGTGCCGTAGAGTCAGTTCCAACTCATAGTGACCCTGTACAGGGTTTCTGAGCCTGTAAATCTTTACAAGCAGAAAGCCTCATCTTTCTCCTGCCGAACAGCTGGTAGTTTCGAATTGCTGACCTTGAGGTTAGTAGCCCGATTTCTAACCACTACACTACCAGAGCTCGTTGATTAGTTCTATTAGCAGTCTATTAATTTTGAGTTTCAGAAAAGACTGAATTTGGAAAGAGCTATTTCATATGATGGAGTCCTGGTGTGGCACTGTTGATTAATGTACTGGATTGCAAAGTCAGTTTGAGCCACAAGGTCGACAGTTCAAGCATCAACTGCTCCTCGGAAGTCCTATACAGACAGGGTTACTATGGGTTGGAATCGAGTTGACGGCATTTAACAACCACAACAACAATTTCATATGATAATATTCAGAGTTGAGGTATTTGGGGACAGAGTTGTGACCGTCTGTTGTTTGGAAAGAGTCCTGCACAAAATGTGTTGTCTCCTAACACTGGGGATTTTCACATGTCCACTTGACGAGATTCTTCTTAGACAGAGGGAAAGGCACTGAATTTGTAAGATTTAGGATTAAAAACAAAGTGGGGACACAGGGTAGGAAAGTGGGGAAGAAAAAATGAATAGAAATAATAGAACTAAATACATGAGCAATAAAATGGAATAGAGGACAAATGGGAGATGAACTGAGAAAACAAACAGGAACACTTAGAGCAGTAAATTGAGGCAACCAGTTTACTGGGAAGGAAGAAGAAACACAACCAAGAAAAGAGAAGAAAAGCAGAAAGAACAATATGAACAGAGTGGCTGGTGAGTTGATAAGGGATTGTATAGGTCCAAGGCTTGCTGTACAAAGAGAGGGACCACACAGGAAAAAACAAGCCTACAGCACTAGGGGTGAACAACTAGGAGTTGACAATCAGCACAGTGAGGAAGGGATAATGAAAGTAAATGATGTGATGCCGATGGAAAAAGTCAACAAAGTGGTCATGGATGCTAATCCTTGAAACTACCCCAGAACCACCTCAAATTGCAAGATTACAAACTCCACATCTGTAACATAACCAAATATTTAACCTCATATTATTGTCCTCTCTAGCCTTTTTTACCACTTATATAACCTGTGTTTCAAAATGTATAAACATCCCCTGACATACCCTGGAAGCTTTCCTCACTGGGCTAATTTCTTAGAAAATTTGCTGGTATTTCCCAAAGAATGGTGTGTCTCTGAAAGAGCCCCTCACTTAGAAATGCCTTCCCAATTGGGAAGAATGGTATTTTCCTCAGGAAAATACAGGCCTCCGTCATGGCTGGGTGGAGTCCTTGAGGAAAGTGTTACAGTGCTGTGAGAGCAATTGGGGGGAACATGAAAGCAATTTCTGAGAACTACCAAATACAACCTTTTTTGTACACTCCTGAGCTGTGAAAGTCTTCCCACACCATTGCTGTTGTTGTTAAGTGCCGTTGAGTCTTCAAGCCCTCCGAAATTCATGCCCACTCTACCTCACAGAGGTGTGGTTTGCTAAGGAAAGCCAGGCTGCAGTATACCTATATAAGCAAAGTAATGTTTACTCACAGAAGCCTCCTGTTCTCTGCTTGAGTAGTCAGTATGTTCTCCTCTGGGGAAGAAGGAAGTAAGGAGGGATTGTTTTCCTCCTCACACATTATTAACCTGAAATTCCAAGCCTCTTTGCAATGTGCAGTTTTAACAGGGATACCTGCCCAGTGCTGACTAAATACAGACAGCTTTGCGGGACTGACTGTACCAAGAAGACAATCCAGTAGGATTTAAACCATGACAATTCTTTTTTTTTGCTTTAGAATGCATGCCACATACAAAGTCTCTGTTAGTTCCATCTTTTAACACAACCTGGAAAAGAGTTAAACAACTGGCCTGCTTAAAATATCAGCCAGTTCTCTTTTCAAGTGGTAATGACTGTTAAACATGTATAGTTTAAACATCTCTTCATGCTTAGCATGCACCCTGAGTTAGTTGCTACCTGCAAGGTTAGGTTAATGCCATTTTCTGATGCACGGGTTCCATGAAATGGTTTTTTGCCCTTTCAAGCGGAGTTAAGGCCAGTGGTTGGCAGGAGGGTGTGGCAGCTGCCTTCTGAGTACTTACACAGGATCCTGAGCTCGGTGACTGTGCCCGTGTTAGCTCTCCCCTCACCTCATGTACTCCCCATCACTCCTATAATCCATAAAAGATTCTGATCCTGACACCTCCTCAAAATCCTCCAGCACCAGACTGGTGGAGTCCTCACCCACGACGCCGCTGTCAGACCTGGACACCCTGGCCCTGGAATGAGGTGCCAGAGGATTGGTGACTGCAGGATGAGGAGGACAAGGGGTTGTTTTCTGGACAGATGTGGGCAGGGCCTGAGGCGGAGGCACTGCTGGATCACAGACTTCCTCATCATTCTTCTCAGACTCTAGCCCTGCATCCTGGGCCACAGGACCCAGGACGTGGTAGAGGCTGGGGAGGCGGATATCGAAGCGCAGCCCAAACTTAGCAAAGAGTTTGTCGTTGAGAGCGTAGAGCTTCTCGGAGATGTCATAGCCCAGCAAGGCTGAGAAGAGGCTGGAGATGTATCGATCTTTAGCCAGCAGAAGGTAGAGACTTTTCCGGGGCCAGGAAACGTAGCTGCATGTCGTCTCAGCTGTCAGAGTGACCTGAGAAGGTTCAAGGACAGAGAGGGAAAGTTTAAAACTAGGAAATGTGGGCGTCCGTGTTGAGCACGGAGAAGTACACATTTCCTTGGCAAATGGCAGCACTTTTGTTGAAGAAGCTATGTGTTATTATCCTTTCTCGGCCTTTCAGGGAGGAAGTCCAATTAAAGACTTTTCAGGATAATGCGCTGGACTGCAAGGTCTGTTTGAACAGCAAGGTCGGCAGTTCAAACCCACCAGTTCCTCTTTGGAAATCCTACACAGGGTCGCTATGAGTTAGAACTGACTCGACAGCACTTAAAAAAAAACTGAAAAAATTAAACCTTAAAATTAAAGTTTCAGATGAAAATGTGCTTACGATAGTACAGGCATTCCTCAGAGTATTGCAGTTTGGCCCCAGACGGCTGCAATAAAGTGAGTATCACAGTAAAGCAAGTCACGTTTTTTGGTTTCTCGATGCATGCGAAAATTATGTTTACACGATACTGCAGTCGACTAAGTGTACAATGGCTTTATAAAAAGAAGTTTAAAATATTGTGAGAATGGCCAAAATGTGACACAGAAATATGAAGTGAGCCCATATTTTTGGGAAAATGGTACCCACAGCCTTGTTCAACACAGACCTTTAGTTTGTAAATAATTACAATATCTGCCAAGTGCAATAAAGCAATGCACAACAAAATGAGGTGTACCTATAAGGGAAAGGGTTATAAGAACCACAAATTGTATAGAATGAGCTGCCCACAGAACTTTAATAATAATGAGAAGGCCAGCAAGTTCCTGATATGGATTTGTGGATGAAGACATTGGAAGTGATGATGATGATGATGGTGATAATAATAGTAGTTAACATTTATTAATAAGAGGTGAATGTGTGCCAGGCATTGTGTTAAGAACATTAAATGAATTATCTAATTAAAGGTAGGACTGACTTTACAAAATTCATCATTAGAGACTATATGGAAACTGCTTAATTCCTGCATTGTCTACCAGATCCTGCTCCCCACTCCTTTGCTCTTCTCTTCCCTCTGTAATAATCCACCTTCATTTCTCTTATTCAATTCCTCTTTCATCCCCACCCACAAAAAATAAAATTGCAGTCAGGGCCATAAGTTAAAACACCAAGGCCAGAAGTTGGTTTCAAGTAACAGCTTTGCCACTCTACCAGCTGTGTTACATCAGACAAATTAAGCATGTTGCTTCATGAGAAAGTATCCTGAAAGTAATACTTACCATTTGCCCATTACTAACAGTTCAGCAAGTATTTGTCACAACCTAACATAGCTTATGCTTTATCTACACTTACCAGCAATTCCCAAGCAAGGTACTGAACATGAAGTGGGTATGCATGAGTAAGAACGAAACTGGATATAATATCCTTAAAACTGAACACAAAGAACACAACATGCTGCTGCTACTTCTTTCTTAAAATAGAACAAAACTGAAAAGTGAAAATCCCTTTTTCTTTAACTCACTTCCTTGGCTAGCTATCACTCCATTAATTTGCTCTACTACTAAGCAAAATTCTAAGAAAACGTCTCTATTTGGTGTCTTCAATTCTTCTCTCATTCTCTTTCAAACCAATAAAGCTTTGTCCCTAGCAGTCCCGAAACACTGTCCACAAATGCTGTCTGTGACGTTCACCAATGGCCTCTACATTGCTGAGTCCAGTGGTCAATGTTTTACAGTGTTCAACTTCATTGATTGTTTCCTCCTGTCTGACACACTTTCTTCACTTGGTTTCCAGGATACCACACTCTCCTAGGGTCCCTTGCATCTCCAGGTGCTCTTTGTCAGACTCCTTTGGTATTTCCTCTTCTCTACAACTTTTTAGGGTTAGAGCATCTCAGGGATCAGGCCTTAAACCCCTTCTCTCATTCACTTAGGTGACTCAACCTCCAAACCCATTGTCATCAAGTCATTTCTGACTCATAGTAGCCCTGTAGGACACAGCAAAACATACCCAGAGAGCTTCCTTAGCTGTGAATCTTTAGGGAAGCACACTGCCTGCCACATCTTTCTCCTGCAGAGCAACTGGTCAACATCAAGTGCTTAAGCACTGTGCCACAGGAGCTCAATAACTCCAAAGTTTATGTCTACAGCCCAAACTTCTCTCATGAATTCCAGTCTTAATAGTTAACTGTCTTGGTGACATCTCCACTCACATGTCCACATGTCCTAAACTGAACTTCTTGTCTTTCCCTGAAACCAGCTCTACTTGCAGCCTTCCTTATCTCAGTTGACAGGAGTTCCATCCTTCCAGTTGCTCAGCTCAAAAGCTTTAGAGTCATTCTTGATCTCTTTTTTTCATACACTACATCCACTCCATGAGGGAATGTTTTTGGCTTTATATAGAAAACAAGCTCTGACCCTCCATGATCTGAGTCCCTTATCACCTCTCTGACTTCCTATCCTGCCATTTTCTCTATTCTCCCTCATAGTTCCAGCCACATTGGCCTCCTTTCTGAACCTCAAACATTCCACCCTCTTCCACCACAGGGCCTTTGCACTGGCTCTCCCATATGTCTGATAAGCTCAACCTCCAGAGCTCACATTGTCTTCCCCTTCAGATCTTACTCAGATGTCACCTGCTTAACAAGGGCTTCCATGATGACCCCATTTAAAATTGCAACCATATCTCCCTTACCCTACTTTATTTTTTTTAACTAGCAATTATTATCCTTTAACATATTACATAATTTACTTATCCATTATGTCTGTGGCTTATTTTTTGTTTTCCTTACCAGAATGCAAATTGCATGAGGGGAGGGACCTTTGTTTTGTGCACTGATATATCCCAAGCACATTTAACTGTGCCTGGAATGTAATAGTATATAATAAGTGCCCAACATTATTGAAGTAAATGAATGAATCAAGTGAAGACTAACAATTTTATATGTTGCAAAGCAATCTAATATCACTTTCTCATGTCTTATATATAAAAAAAAATCTTTTCTCAGAGGTCCTTAGTTTCTTGGTTGGTTGCTACATACATATGCATATGTCTTTAATAAAATTTTAGTAAGTGTCTTAGTTATCTAGTGCTGCTATAACAGAAAGACCACAAGTAGATGGCTTTAACGACTATAAATCTATCCTCTCACAGTTTAGAAAACTAGAAGCCCAAATTCAGGGCTCTATCTCTAGGATAAGGCTTTCTTTCTCTGTCAGCTCTTGGGGAAGGATCTTGTCGTCTTTCAACATTTGTGGACCCAGCATTCCTTGGAGATCTCCATGTGTCTTGGCATCAATCTTCCCCGGGGTCCAGGAGGTTCTCAGTTCAGGGATCCTAGGTCAGAAGGTCACACACTGCTCTAGACTCTTCTTTCTTGGTGGTCAAAGTCCCTCCTTCTCTATTTATGTCTCCCTCCTTTTAGCTCTTGTAAGATAAAAGGTGATACTGGCCACACCCCAGGAAAACCACCGTTATGTTGGATTAGGGCTTTGGTCTGAGTAAGGGTTTCCATCCCACTTTAATTCTTCCTCATGAACATAACATACCAAATCTAATCCTCTTTAACATAACCTAATCTTGTCTCATTAACCACAGGCAGGGATTAGAATTTGCCACACATAGAACAATCGCATCGGATCTCAAAATGGAGGACAACCATGAAATACTAGGAACCAAGGCTTAGTCAAGTTGATACATATTTTGGGGTGGGGGAACATAATTCAATTCATGACAAGCATTTAGTTTTTTCATGAATACTTACTTCAGAGGTTGATTGGATGTATTAAATGAGATAACATACTTATATAGGCCTTAAGTCCAGTCAAACACAATGCAAATGAGAAAAATAATGGTGATTTCTGTGTGTACCCCCTGTCCTGTGTTCTTTGGTGAGGAATGACAGTGTCACAGTGCTGAACAATCAATAAGTTCTTACTTAATTGAATTGCTGAGAGGTGTGATGGACTGTGGATTGAGTTGTGTTAAACACGATATGAATTATGATCCAGGCATTCACTGTAAATGTTCTCTCAGTCAACAAAGACTGTAATCGTAAAAGGCAAGGACAGGATGAACTGTAACTTGGGAGACTACTTGGCATTTACAAAGAGGAAATGAGACTTTACACAGCCAATAGCAAATGCGTGGCTCTCCTTGCTACCACTGGGGCACAAACTAAAAATAAAAATGGGAGTTATATGACTGTGCCTACATTCCAGGCTGAGAGGCCATCTGGGGTTGCAGCATAACTTAGGGGAGGATACCCGGCTTACCCACCACCTGTTCTTCTTTGTCAGCATCAAAAATAGAGCACTGGTCCGGCTGGCTCTATCGGAGATTCACAGAGCTGAGGGAATGCCCAAAGGAGACTGCTGGGTTATAAGAGAAGGTGTGTTTCAGGGCTGAGCAGGGGGAAGAGGAGGGAAAGGATAGGAGGTGGTTTGTGGCTGGTGGTCCTAGCAGTGGAATCAAGATTGCCTCTCAGTCTCCATCCTCCTAGAGTCAGGGTGGGGACAGAAGCAAGTGCAACCAGGTGGCCATGCCTGGCATGTGTCTCTTCCGGGATTGGCTTATACCAGCTTACAGGACTCCCTGTCAGGCATGGTAGAACACACATGGAGCCCAGTATCTGCAACTGTGTAGGCTGGGAGTCCCTATTAGGTGAAGTTCCTATTAGCACTGTCCTGGTGCTCCCTCCCATTATTTAAAAAACAAAAAACATACATTGATCTAGAGAAATTTGTCACTTTTTAAGTGTAGGGTTTGGGGTAAATTACATGATAATTTTGAGCCTCAGTTTTCTCACCAGTTAAAAGCGTTGTTGTGAAAACCATGGAGACAATATAAAATATAATGCTTGCCACACGCTAGCTACTCAGTAAAAGGGTAGCCTGAAGTCTGACAGATTGACAGAATAGATGCCAAGTAGCCAGGCTCCCACTTTGGAGCATGCTGCCTGCATGTATATGCATGCTCCACAGAGTCCTCTAAGGTACCAATTGCCCACTGCCATGGCAGCTCAGCAAGCATTTAATGAACATCTATTGTGTTCCAGGTACTGTCTTCTGGAGGCTAGGGTTAGAGAGAAGAAGTAGCCCTGATTTTCACTTCAAAGAGTTTACCATGTGGAAACCAGAAAGGAGTCCAGATAACTGGACTAGAGTAATATGTGTACCAGTCAGCATTAAGTCAAAGGAGCAGAACGGGCACCCAGGCGGTAATCATCAGCTATGGGGGTGTGCACTGATGAGGTCAATGTGGGCAGGCTTCCAGAGGAAGTGAGATGTCATAACCTAGTGTAGAAATGGAAATGCGTTTCAGACAGAGGGACAGTAGCGGTCAAGGCATGAAGTTGTAAAACAATGTGGTAATGCAGTGCAGTGAATGACTTCATATGGCTCTTCTACCCATAGTCTGTAACTCCCACCAAACAATAGTTTTGTCCACCGGGTCTAAGTAGGAGTCCTGGTGTGGTGTGGTGGGTTAATGCGCTAGACTGCAAAATCGATTCTAACTGCAGGGTTGGTGGTTTGAGCTCACCAGCTGCTATGGGTCAGAACTGACTTGACGGCACTTAACAACAAGTCTGAGTAAGATAAGGTAGGAGAAGATACTGCTAAGAGGGTATGATTCAGTTGTGAATGGCTCCCAGAGTTCATTGTAATGATAAAAACATGAACTTTAACATGGGTATACAATGAACTCTTTCAGAAGCAGAAGCGAGGAATTTCACTATCATCAAAGACGAGCCGGAAGTACAGTTCAATGTTTGGAGCCCCAGATTCCTGTGCATGGAATCTCCTCAACCCAGGGACTGAAAACTATGACACTGAAGGAGTGGCACAGAAGCCGCAGCACAACCAAGAGTCAGAGCACAAGACAAAGCGGGGAGCGTCTCAGCTGACAGAGCAGGTAAAGCGGAGTGACTTTGGACAGAAGACTTGCTTGCAGAGTAGGGTGCCTCCAAGCACTTGATTGGGGGAGCTAGTTTTACAGCCCCATGGAACTAGAGCCAAATGCCATTAGGCTGAGGTTTATGGTGGAGTGGTATGTATTGTGGGCAGTTATCAGCAGCCCTAAAAGAACTTTGTAACATTGGCTGGGCAGAAAGAGGCCTGCCTGTGGACATGGCTGAGGAGAGTCTGTCCTGACTGGAAGAACTGTGCCCTAAACATTCTCTCATCCTGCACTGTAACCCTAATAAACCTCGTAACTGTGAGTATGGTGTCTGAGTTTGTCTGGTCATTGCAATGATTGACCCCAGCTGAGCAGAGTGTGCTGCGGGAGGAATGGTGTCATTTTTTATTTTTGCAGGCATGTTTAGGGAGTACTAGTGGTTCAGAATGACTGGTAATAAGCAACGAATGTGAGAAAGAAAAGGACTTGAGTTGTGGTTCACAAAAAAGAGTTTAAGTTACCCACTAAGGTCATTAGGATCTCTTGGAAGAGCTTTAGGCCAAGTTGTCAGGGTCAGTACCTCCCTACACTGCTCTACCTAGGCAAGAGCCCAGACACTCTCTCCATGTGAGAATACGCCCACCCCTCGCATACTGGCAGGGGTTCAGTGGATAGATGTGAGAGGAAAGGTGGAGGTGGAGATATTGCTGGATTACAATGGGACAGAGCAGAGCAATACTGTCATGGGGCTCCCTATTACCTGAAATACCCCCTCCTCAGAGGGCTGCAGTGATTCCCACTCAGGAGAGTCCATGAACTGGTACGGAAAGATGTAGTGCAGAAACTGCCCATCCTGGCTCACACGAACCCTGCCAAAGGGAGAGAAGAGAATGTGTGGGAAACAGGAAATGGCTGCCCAGGCCCCCTTCACTGAGTTGGTATTGTTGGTCAACATGGCTCTTCCAGCAGAGCTGTGACTAAAACACAGTAAAATCCAGAGAAAAAATAGCTTGATTACTGCACAGAAGAAATTTAAAATGAGATCCTATCAAGACTTCTGAATCTTCACTTTCCTTCTCTTTGCCCATGATTCTCTGCACAATAGAAGCCCTGTTGTTGTTGTTATGTGCTGTCGAGTCGGTTCTGACTCATAGTCACCATGTCTGTATAGGGTTTCCGAGGGTGTAAATCTTTACGGGAGTAGAAAGCCTCATCTTTCTCCCGCGGAGCGGCTGGTAGTTTCGAACCGCTGACCTTAAGGTTCGCAGCCCGATTCGTAACCACTACGCTACCAGAGCTCCTTAGGAGGACTTAAAACAGCAGCAACAAAAACTCATGCTTGACCTTAGCCCAGAACAATTAAGCAAGAATCTCTGCTGATGGGATCTGGATATTAACAGTTTTGTTGGGTTTTTTGTTTGTTTGTTTGTTTTTAAGAATTGAGTGAAGGTTTACAGAGCAGATCATCAGTTTTGTGTTGAACAATTCACGCATTTTGTTCCATCTCATTGATTACAATCTCCTTAATGAAACATCATTTATCCTACTTCCTTCTTGTGCTTCCTGTTTCCATTCCTCCTTCTTTCCTAGCTCTTCTGAACTTTGTCCTTGGGTTAATGCTGCCCTTTTGATCTCTAATGGTTGATAAGTCTAAGGCATGCATATCTCACCAATGTTATCATCCTGCTTATACACAATATTGTTTGGCTGAAAATTGAACTAGGAGGGTGAATTCACTTCTAGACTTGAAGGGTAACTAAGAAGGAGCTCCGGTAGCATAGTGGTTACGAATCGGACTGCGAACCACAAGGTCAGCAGTTCGAAATTACCAGCTGTTCTGCGGGAGAAAGATGAGTTTTCTGCGCCTGTAAATATTTACAGCTTCGGAAACCCTGTACAAGGTCACTATGAGTCGGAACCAACTCTACATCACATAACAACAACAAGGGCCATAGGCTCAAGGGTCCCATTGATCTATGACAAGTAAGTCTGGTCTTTATGATTTTGAGTTTTATTCCACCTTTTTCTTCCTCTCTATTGTTGTAAGTGCTGTAGAGTTGGTTCCAACCCATAGTGACCCTGTATAGGGTTTCCAAGGAGCAGCTGGTGAGCTTGAACTGCCGACCTTGAGGTTTAAACTGACTTTGCAGTCCAGCGTGTTAACCCACAGCGCCACACCAGGACTCTCCTGTCTGTTAGGACCTTCTAAAGTGATTCCTTTCTGATAGTTAGTAGTGGTAGTCAGGCATCATCTAGTTCTGTTGGTCTCAGGGTCATGGAGACTGTTGCTCACCTGGTCCATTAATTCATGGGACTAATTATTTCCATGTGTCTTCAATTTTCATCACTTTTTTTTCTTCTGGACAGGGAGATATCAGTAGTTGCAGTTTAGATGGCCATTTACAAGCTTTTAAGAGCCTAGTCACTACTCAACAAAGTAGGATGTATAACAGTGTCTTTGTGGACTGTGTTATACCAATTAACCTTGGTGTTCCCCAAGACCATGGTCCTGAGCTCCCAGGCCCAGAAACTCATTCTTCAAGGTGTTTGGTTATGTCTAAGAAGTTTTCAGAACTTTGTTCCCTGTATACATTAGGCAAATCTGCTGCATAAGAGCTCTATAAAGTGTTCAAGAGCAAAGAGAATTAAGGTGCACCTGACCCAAGCCATGGTATTTCCAATAGCCTCATATGCCTGTGAAAGTTGGCCCATGAATAAGGAAGAGTGTAGAAGAATTGATGCATTTGAGTTACAGTGTAGGAAAAGAATATTAAAAGTACCATGGACTGCCAGAAGAATAAACAAATCTATATTAGAAGAAGTAAAGAATGTTCCTTAGAAACCAGGATGGTAAAACTTTGTCTCATGAAATAATTAGTCCCATGAATTCAGACTTGTTGCCAGGAGGGACAGTCTCTGGAGAAAGACATCAAACTTAGTCAAGTGGAGGGCCAGCAAAAAAGAGAAAGACCTTTCTTAAAGGTGATGGATTGGCACAGTGACAGCAGCAATGGGCTCAAGCGTAACAATTGTGAGGATGGCACAGGACTGTGTTGTGTTTTGTTCTGTTGTGCATAGGGTCACCATGAATTGGAGACAACTTGATAGCACCTAACAACAACATGCTTCACCACATTCATGGTTATATTTACAGCAAAGGTAAATAAATACCCCTGTACAAATATCCTCTATCAAACTTATATGCATTTGTGGCTCTACCCCTACTCTCCCTCCCACACCTGTTTATCCTGGTTGTCTATTGATACATCTATTTGTTGTTGTTGTTTTCAAGTGCCATCGAGTTGTAGATCACCATTATTTGGCTGGATTGTGTGTATAATAGTACTTACTTCTGTTGCCTTTAAACTCTTAAACTCACTCCTCCCAATGTCTCCCATGCCTCCATCATTTTTTGCCAACTTCCCTTTTATTGTATATTGCCTTCCCCTTCACCCAAATTATATGAGTATTTATTTTTTTCCAAGTTTAAAACAGTCTGTTCTTTCTTGAAATCTTGACTTCCTCTCCATTTGGAAGTTCTGTAACTACACTATTCCCTCATTTTACTACTTTCAGTATCTTTCTCTGCCTCTGTCAATTTTCTGCCAACATGGATATTGTCTTTTAAAGTCTCACTAAGTAGTTGAAATATGTAGTCAGAATGAAGAACCACTGTTTTGGAGGTCTATTGCCCAATATAGTAGCCACTAGTCAAGGTCGGCAGTCCAAATCCACCAGCTGACCCTCGGAAACCCTACACATGGTCACTATGGGTTGGAACCAACTCAGTGGCACTTAACAACAGCAACAGTCCAATGTAGCCCATGGAAGCAGCAGTCAAGAAATTAAACAACATATCGCATTGGACAAATTGCTGCCAAAGATCTCTTTAACATGTTAAAAAGCTGAGGACTAAGGTGCACCTGACATAAGCAATTGAAAACAGCTTTTTCAATTGCTTCATATGTATGTATATAAAAGCTGGAAAATCAATAAAAAAGAATGAAGAAGAAATAATGTATTTGAATTATTGTGTTGGGAAAGAATATTGAATCTCCTATGAACTGCCAGAAGAACAAAAAATCTGTTTTGGAAGAAGACTTTCTCTCACATTCTTTAGAAATGTTATAAGGGGGGACCAGTCCCCAGAGAAGGCTATCATGCTTGGTAAAGTTAGAGGTCAGAGAAAAAGAGAAAGACGCTCAATAAGATGGATTGACATAGTGACTGTAACCATGGATTCAAACAGCAATAGTTGAAAAGATGATACAGGACGGACCAGGCAGTGTTTCAGTCTGTTGTACAAGTGGCCACTATGAATCAGAATTGACTTGATGGCACCTAACAATAACTAACATACACAGAATGCTATGAAATTTACTTTACATTAATTGAAATTACATGCAATAAAAAGTTCAGTTCCTGTGCACCTTTCAAAAATCAGCTCCGATGCCATCTTCTCTGAGAAGTCTGCCACCTGATAAGGGAATTGTTCCCTCTCTCTCCTCTATGTTCCTCTTCCACATAGTTTTTATATTAGAGCACTTACCACATTGGATTGCAGCCAGTTTGGTACCAACCATTTATGTTACAAACATTTATGATTCAAGCTGGTTATGTAACAACCACTAAAGCCAGTGATGCTGAAATTGAAAAAATATACCAACTTTTTCAGTGTGACACTAATCAAACATGGAATTAAGATGTATTGGTAATTACTGGTGATTGTAATGCAAAGGTTGGAAACTGAGGGAAGGCTCAGCAGTTATGAAATATGGCCTTGGTGATAGAAATGATGCTGGAGATCACATGATAGAATTTTGTAAGACCAATGACTTCTTCATTGCAAATACCTTTTTTAAAGCAATGTAGAAGACGACTATATACATGAAACTGACCATATGGACTATGCAGAAATCAAATTGACTGTATTTGTGGGAAGAGACAGTAGAAAAGGTCAATATCATGAGCCAAGTAAAGGCCAGGAGCAGACTATAAAGCAGACCATCAATAGCTCATATGCAAGTTCAGGCTGGCGGAGAAGAAAGTGAAAACAAATCCATGGGAGTCAAAACATGACCTTGAGCATATCCCACCTAAATTTAAAGATCATCTTAAAAACAGATTTGATACATTAGGCACTAATGATCAAAGACCAGAAGAGTTGTAGGATGACATCAAGAATATGATACAGGAAGAAAGCAAAAGGTCATTAAGAAGACAAGAAAGAAGGAAAAGATCAAAATGCATATCAGAAGAGACTCTGGAATTTGCTTTCCAGTGTAGAGATGCTTGAACAAAAGGAAGAAATGATGAGGTAGAAGAGCTGAACAGAATTTAAAAGGAGAGATTTGGAAGACAAAGTCAAGTATTATAATGAAATGTGCAAAGACCTAAACTTAGAAAACCAAAAGGGAACGACATACTCAGCATTTCTCAAGATGAAAGAACTGAAGAAAAAATTCAAGTCTCAACTTGAAATATTGAAGGATTCTATGAGCTAGAGGCAGTTGTTCGAACAGAACATGGGA